TTCTACTTCTTTTTATTAACATTTGCCAACCTATATATTTTTATTAGATGTTATGTTGCACTGCCTGTCCTACGTACATGCACAGAGCCACTGTACCATAGTGTAATTCCTTGTGTGTGTGCTAATACTTTTGTGCCTTTATTTAAGCATTATTTTGAATGTACAACCTAATTCCTTGTGTGTGCTAATACTTTTGTGCCTCTATTTAAGCATTATTTTGAATGTACAACCTTTACTAACGAGTATTTTTACATTGTGGTACACCTACTTTAACTTCAGTAATCTGGGTAGATTACAACAACACGTGCAGCTACTAGAAACCGGTTGTGGAAGAAGTCAAGGTGTGGAGGGAGTTGTTTGTTTGAGATGCCTTGCATCAAATCAAGCACTCCCTTTTCCTTACTAAGCTGCAATAACCAATAGTAGGAATGGGTTACAGCACGTGATGAGCTGTAGACAGAAGTCACAAAACAAAAGGATCTAAATCAGTGGTCCCCAACCCCCGGGCCGCGGACCGGTACCGGTCCGTGGCTCAATTGGTACCGGGCCGCACAAGAAATCATTAATTATTTCCGTTTTATTTATTATCTGAGTAAACGTATATTGACCCCACACTGGCTATTCTACTTGTTGCTCTTTACATATCTATAGTTCTACATTGTGATTTCCTATCCTGTTTGAGCACTGGTTATCCAGATTTGGTGATCCTGAAAAGTTCCTATCCGGATCAGATTGATCCAATCCGATGTTGCTTTGAAAAACTGGCTCAAGAAGTAAGCTGGATTACGTGATCACGGATCGAAAAAAAAGGATTACTAAATCCGGATCAATTTTATCCGGATTAAACCTTTTGAAAAACCGGGCCCTGGAGATCGGAAATGACGGCGGCCTTAAAAGTATGTTCGAGACAACAACTCTGCCGGTGTCATTAACTCAAACCTAGTCATTACCCAACTATATAAAATATTCTCAAACCATGAATGTCAAAAACAAAAAAACACTGGAATACAGCATGTACTGCTAGTGAATGGAGAATCTGCTGCATGTATTTGTGCACTTTACAGTCAACCACAATGCAGATTAATGTTGACTGAGGCTTTCAAAACAGCCATTATGTGTAGTACAGAGAGTAACAATGTGTTAAAATCAACTTGCTGGGAATGATTGTGGGTGTGTTGCACGAGACAGGGTCATTGTTTATTATGAAGAAACATGTTTGGATTGAGACAGACCAGAAGCTGCTGTGCTTCAATCAGCTTTTGCAAAATGTCACCCCTAAAAGAAAACAAAACAAAATAAATTAGAATTAAGGCTTTGTGTTTTATTTGTTCTGCAAGTTTGTCCTCTAGCAAAACATGTCAGTTGCTCAAAATTAAGGTGTTAATTTTTAATTTGGCAGCCTTAACACACACACACACACACACACACACACAAAATGGATCATGAACAGCAACACTGATTTTGAATTTTATAATAACTGACCGATTACTGTCCATGCATGTGGTCAGTGGTTGCCAAATGAAAGTATTTATAGTTTGCATGCCTGGTAAATCCTTATGTGGACACCAAAGTATTTCATAACAGACAGTAAAGACAATGGGGTGAGAGCTGTGCAGACAGCTTGACGTCAGCCCAGTGGATTATCTGAGATGCTCGAGATGCTTGGGGTATGGGTGAGAGGAGAGCATGATCAACACTGTCTAACGCATTAGGATCTGTAGCTAAAACAGTAGAGTCATTTATTACATTAAGAAGAGCTTGACAGAAGACGGGCAAGATTCAACCTTACAGGGCAGTTTCACCTTGTTTTCCCATTGTGCAACTATTTATTTTGACTGTAATTAACTTGGCTAAATAGTAATTCTAAATGTGATTAATGTTTAATGCTTTATGATAGACATGATTAATGCCTTAGGTACAGAATTCACTCACTAACAGTAACATATTAGAACTGCATTCAAACACAATATGCACATTTTACAGACACACAAATACACTTTCATAAACATACACAGGAGCTCATTTATATGCACACGGTATGCAACGAAGCCTTGCAGCAATCACATCACGAGGCGTCTACTGGCAGCAGACATCACACAGTGTTCAAAAAAAGGTACCCGACTCCAGGAACAATTGATGCCATTAATGAGGTGTTGTAAAATATAAGTGGTGTTAAATAGCACTGACAAACTTTATTTTCAATTTTTCACTCCTGCACTTCAATATTGCTTTTCATGTTGTACACATGTGTAAATCTACATGGAAAAACTGGACTTAAATCTTAAAATGAGACAAGTCTTGTTTTCCCCAGTCATCCCTCTTCCTTGTTCTTCTCCTTTGTCTCGTTGATTTGGTGAGAAGACTGCTGACTCAACACGTCTAACGGTTCAATACACCGACAGATGCAAGGCTGATGAAGCTTATTAAGCAGCTGGCCAGGAGTGAAGCCACTTTAGTTCACATTCAGTTCATTAGCAGACTTGTTCACTTTTAAACAAACAAATAATGAGAACCTCTCAACATTCAGTTTTTCCATAATCTCCATTAATTTTATCAATATCATTTTGCTCAGTTCCCACCTCAGTGTCCAAGCTGCCATGGACACAGTGGCTCTGTAAAAACATTAACTATGAAACGGGAATAATGACGTGACATTTTCCGTGTACATCTGAGGCTGAAATGTTCACCTTATAAACTGAAGTTGTATGATGTGACCTTTTGCTTTTGGCATAAAGCCGAGTTTGTTGTTCTATCAATAAAAGCTGTCAGAGCTGCCTGCCTGTGAAGCCTGAGGTACAGTAATACTTATGATAATGCTCGTCTCTATCCCATGGCCCGTCTTTGTTTCACTCCCTCCATCTCATTTTGCTGCCCTCTGCTTTGTTATTAAGACTAATCTTAGCCTTAGCAACAAATCTTATGTTTCCACAATGAGCTTATACGGTGTTACATATGCAAAGAGAGGCCTGATATTAAAATTCTCTGCTGCAGATGGGCTGGAGGGAAGATCACATGGTATATAGCTTCAACAATACCATGTTGATTCATATGATTCATATTTTAAAATGTTAGATTTATATTTGGGGCAGCATGGTGGCTGCCGCCTCACATTAAGAAGGTTCTGGGTTCGAGCCCTGGCCGATCCAGTCCCTTTCTGTGTGGAGTGTGTGCCAGTGATTCCCTGTGCAGGCACATTCCCAGACATGCAGTAACCTCAGGCCCTGTATTGTCTCCACATCCTTAATCCATGTAATACTAAAGTCTCGCTAGAGTTTGCAAGATGTGTGTAAACCGAGTTGCTTCTGCATAGAAATACTAGAACATACGCACACCTCATTTTTTGAGCTTTGGGTCACGTCTAAGATGATTCACCGTTGTAACTTTGTAGACAAGTCAGAAAACAATAGCAGCCATGGGCCCTTTAACTACTTAAAATGATCAAATCTTATTTCATTGTAGAGGTGCGTATAGCACATTGTTTCACTCGTGCTCACATGTTGACGGATCCATCTGTGAATAGCCCACCTCACCCGGAACATGCACGGAATCAAAAAGATCATGCATAGGAGGAAGGACTGTTTTTGGCACAGAGAAATCTGCAGGCTGAGTCAATCCAGCTGCTGATAAGAGGGAGATGAATGGAACCAACTATACACCTACCCAAGCCTCCGTTCATGCATTGCACTAGTAATCCCCGTTTCCACTATGAACACTTATTAATGAACAGAGTAAGAGCATCACTTGGAAAAGCACAGCAAATTATTCAGCATTAAAAGCTCTTAATCACTTTTTCAGTTATTTGACACAAAGTCTATGTATTCTGTTTAGTTTTATTTTTAATCGAGTATGTGGTCATTAAAATATTCTTACAACATTGACATTATTATTATTATTTTTACAGTCATTTCAGAAAAGTGTGGGTGTGAAGACTTGTCAACTACCATGACAGCTAAAACCTTCAGAAGAAAACACTGCACAACAAACACACTGTCCACCACAGCTTTCTTCATATTGGATTCAAGTTGCCTGTGTAGAACTAAGAGTGAACACAAACCATGAATTGCTCATACATCAACTTTAGAACAAGGTCAGCAGCAAGAACACCACCTTCTCTATGTAATGACCTTAAACACTGTAAAAGGCTTTAACATGACTGTAGATTCATTTTACATTTGTGTATTTATCGATTTTGCTCCCAATTCCCATTTATACTGATGAATTAAAACTTTGTGTTGATGAATTACAAACTTTTAATAAGTGCAAAATCTGTTTTTGTTTCTTTGACAAATTATTCCACTCTTATCTCGTATATGGTGGAATATTGGCACATGGAACAGTAAACAGGGTGGTTCATGACTTAGTAATGAAATGAAACTCAACAGGAAATTGAATCGGAAGCTCTTGCCCCACTCTGAACTAGATTACGAAAGGATGACAAAGTGTGTGTGTGCCTGCTCAACTATGCATGCAATTGCGCATGTGTGTCTGGTTGATTAGGTCCTGGTGCTAATGCATTTATAACCATTTGCCTGCACAGCCATCGATCACAGCCAGCATACGCAAAATTAAGAGTAGACGTTAGAAGTGCTTGTGTGCACGTGTGCTGGTGCATCCCCATGCCTTTACCATTTTGTGTTTGTGTGCTTGCTCGTGTGTGTGTGTAACCTTTAATGAGTGCACTTAGTATTGTGTTTGGCTAAGTGAGGGAGAAAGACGTAACATTTATCCATTAACAGCATCTCTTCTCTTTTCCTAATCCATGTGTTTGCCCATTACTTCACCTCACACCGCTGGCTGCATTTTGTTTGAGTGGTAGGAAAGGTCTTTACACACAAAGAAACAGTGATAAATGATACAAAATAGCAAAGTTTTCAGAGGCAAAATTAAAAGCAACACTATCAAATGAAAATATGCATTATAAAACATTGAGAGAGGGAGTCAAAGTAAGGCAGTGCAACGGCAGACAGAACGAGGAACAGTGAAAGACTGATAGATACAGATAGAGAGGGGGTATTAAACTGTGTTTTAGACAAGTGGATAGGGGCCAAAGGACCATCAGCTTCTGATTCTCTGACAGGATCACTGATGGCTCAGTCCAACTCCATTTTATTCCAACTACCACAGAAGGTTTCTCATCATCTAAGGCGGCACACGTGGCCATACACAGTCTAACACTAGTTGTTCAAAAAGATAACATACTGGGACATTTAACAGGTTACCAAGTGGTACAGTGACTATACAGCCATGAAGCCGATCACAGGCTACTGTGGGCTCCTCCCCTTAAACCCAACTAACTGGCCCAACACGTGGTTGTGGTAGTGATAGAGAAATACAACCAGCTTCTCACACACCGTTTACTGAGGCCGAGGACCTCCACCATGGCTGTGAACACTGGCCCAAAAGCCATGCATTTGTTTTTTAAAGTCTGTTTTGATTAACTGTGGTAGTAGCATCCTCCCTGACCCTTAGCCTGTTTGGACAGCTAGAACAACCAGATTTAAGCTACAAATGCTGCTTCAGAGCAGATGTGATCTCTCTCGCTATAAAGAGTTGTTCCCTGTGACTGTGATTAGCGTTACTAGATGTCCCCTTCCTTGTGAGGGTTAAAACAGTTTGTCCAGTGGCAGATCTCTGGTCACTTAGTTGTATTTGAAGTCATCCATCTGTGCCTAATTAGATGGCCTCTCAGTCTGGCTGCTGGAGGAATTCCCATTACAAAAGGAATAGAACAGAGGAGATGCTAAGAGGAGAGACTACCCAGAGGAAGAAAGGTTGTGTACATTTGTTTGCAAACATGCGCAGCTGAGCATGTAGGTATGTGTTTATGTTGAGAGAATGGATTCAGTTAAGCTTAGAAAGCTACTGGCCTTAGTGTTGGTGCAGGTGGTTCTGTATGTGAAGATGTCTGCGGCATGAGAGGAGTGAGGATAAGCTAGAGAACACATCCTGGGGAGGAAGAGGAAGGGAAAGATGGGAGTTTATACTGTGTTCATAAAAAGATCACATGAATGACTGAAGATCTTTACTCCTCTGGAGCCATCTCAGTGCCATCTCTTGTTGGAATGAGCTAACTGCTCACTGTTGAAAGCTTTGCCATGGGCAGTGTAAAGTTACGTAGACCAGAGTCTCATTCATGCAGTAAATTAAAAAATAATCAAACTGGTGGAGTGATGGGCAACAAGTTACCACAGAGGAATAATGTAATGACATTGTTAATTGTGGCCCATGTTGATGTGCAGCATTTACAAACAGCACTGTGTTCTGTGTCTAAAAATGATCTGGAAAAGGAGAATTACACTGAATAAATGAACACTATGAAAAATACCTTTAGCCTACCTGTGTGTAAAGCAGGCAGGGATAAGGGCGACATGTCACTTAACAGAGCTGCTGAAATCTGGCAAACATCCCACATAAAGACATTTATTTAGGTGTTGACCTTGGGGATTCAGCCAAGACTTGGAGAGGCGGAAACAACACAAGAGCTTTTTATTCAGATAAGCCTCTCTCTTGCTCCCTGTCCTTTTCATACTGTGTATAACGCTATGAAGTACTACTGGGTGATTTTTCACCACTCCAACTGGAATAATAACTCTGCCTACTTTTCAGTGAAAAACACCCCTAATTACCACAACCTTGCAGTGAAAAAGGGCAAACTTCTTACTCTGGCAACTTTCATACTGAGTAGCTCTTGACTTAGTTGTGCACATGAATCTGCATCTTTATTTACTTGTAATGCATTGATTCTTCAGTCTTTCTGTTTTTAATCTTCTATTACCTGCTTCAGTATTTTGTATGGGAGGTACTTTTCTACAAAACCCCCCGATTCTAACGTCTGATTCTTAAACAGACACGTTGCCAGGTTATAAAAAGCTCCCTTTCCTAAATAGTACTATATTGTAACAGTCATTTATTTCTCCACAGTCATATCACAGCATTCCCTACATGAACAAGATCCCAAAGATGTATCCCTTTTATTTTTTTAAGTGGGCATTTTATAATAAATACTTTGGTTCCACTTTTGAATTAAGCAGATAAAAGTCATGGCTGGACAAAAGGTCATACTGCTGCAATGTTTAGTGATCATAGTCACACATGGCAACTTAGCATGCTGACATTCCTAAACGCCAATAAATACAGTCAGCATTTTTGCAAAGGACTGTAGAACTTTGAAGCCAGAATTTGTCAAAAACACTGAACAATCCTCTGCCCAGGATTTTTCTTGTCAAGTAATTTAGCATTAATGGTAGTAGAGGTGGTCCTCTAGTGTTGCCTTCCACTGCCCCGTGAACAATGAAAAAGCCATTCTCAGATTTGTTTTTGTGCAGAGTTATTTATCACAGAGCTGCTGGGGACCGCACAGTTGGAGACAGTTGTTACATCTCACTGTCCCTCCATTTCTCTCCACATCCCTTTCTTTCAATTTTCTGTCCTCTATTTCTCCTCAATGCTGGCTGGGAACATCATGCCCCACTGGTGCTAAAAGATTCTTAGTTGAAACAGGACCAACTTTCATGCAGTCTGTCTGATGATGCTAAAATTTCGTTTTGCTCATCCGTTCACATTAGTCAAACTAAGCACTCTGGAGTTCAAATAAAATCTTCCAAACATGCCACCCACTGACTTGCTTTCACTTCCTTCCCCTTTACATCTCTCAATCCATCTTTTCTCTGCTTGCTGTCTGGCTAATAATAACCTACCACAGTGGGCTCATTACACCATCAAAAAGGGTCTCCGTGAAAACACTGATCACTGTGCTGGAGACAGAGCTCAGCTTTGATTCCTGTTAACACCCACATAAAAAGAAAAAGCTGAGAAAAACAAGAAAACAGTTTAGAGATTGTTCTTTAACAGGAAATTTGTGCTGTCTTTGAATTCTGATCAATACTACATAATTAAATGTGCCAAAGAATAGGAGGCTCAGTATACTGGTAGAAGGTTTACCCGTTATTTGGCCCCAAGGAGGGGGGTGTCAGGCCATGCTAGCTAGTCTTCAGAGCCCCACAAGAAGCTGATTGGCATTTTGTCATCTACTTTATTCCCTTTTTATTCACTCTACTGTTTCTGCTATTCCAAGATGTCAGTTTTATTCTAATAATAAAGGCATCTTTCAAGTCTGACAGCTGTGTGATACTGGAGCCTGGCTGAGTGAAGCCTGTTGACAGAACCAGGGTTGAAGTCCTTTTTCTTCATCCATCATCCACAATTGTATTTATAAGGACTTCTGTAACACACCCTCACAACTTTATCATAGCTGCCACAAAATCAGAATTCAGAAGTGTGGCAAAGAAACCTAATGGCGATAAAACAAACGGGGAATGGCTCGGACAGAAAAACAGGGACAATGACGTAGACGGGAGCTGATTGCTGAAGTCCACAAGAACTGGATCAGCTGGGATTTAAAGGATGTGTCTCCTAGAAGGCAAGCATTAAATAGCCTAAAGCAAACAGAAGAAGAACTCGTTTATAGAGAAACAATTGGATTAGGTAAATGATAAGACTAGTAATAATAAAAACAGCATTTATATAGCACTTTACAACTCAGAAGGGCCCAAAGTACTGCGCAGTATAGACATATCTATCGACTAAAACAATACTAAACAGTCAACAAGATAATCATAGAACATAAGACATGTAGACAATGCCATTTAGAGGCAGATAAAAAACAGATTAAAGATCAAAAGCCTTTAAAAAGGTGCGTTTTTAATGTGGATTTAAAAACCGCTAGCTCGGTGATAGACCGAATCTCAAGCGGTAGCGAGTTCCAGAGTCTGGGGCCATAAACAGCAAACGTGTGGTCACCCCATTTTTTTGGATCAGAAAACTAGGAGAGACTAGTAGACTAGGAAAGTGAATAAACAAAGACTGAACAAAGGGCAGACAGGCTGATGACAGAAAAGATAAGTTGCAAAACAGGCTGGGTGGCTCCAGGGGAGGCTAACTGGATGATCTTTATAGTAGTAGGGATCCTGATAAACGAGAGCTCCATAGACCTACAGGAAGTTGGTCTCTGGAGAATGACAACCTCTAAAGACTGAGGCACAGCCAGTGACATATTCCAAATATGGAGCCAATCTTCACAAAGCAAAAACATGTGTGGGGTTGGTCCACTAGACTACAGTGGCCATGCTCACTAGGAACAGATACTTTACATCACCTATAGTATCACATTGTTCTTTTATACATTTGCAGCAATGTACTGAGGAACAATGGCATACAGCATATCTGACTGAATTAACAAGTGAGCTTTTTTAATCTCATCATGATACTGTACATTACTGAACATGCATGCTAGTCAGATGCATCTGGTGAGAAGTAAACAGATTGAACTGGCCTTACCCTTCAAAATACCAGGTTGATAAATTCTCTTGCCAGTTCCAATGACAGACTAACTTGCCATCTATTTTGACCACACAAACAGTGACTAAAAGAGGACAGACACTGTCGAGATGATAGCCTCTTAAGTTTTAACACCCTTCGCTTTTTGATCTTTCTCTCCCACTGAAATTCAGGCAGACAAGTGGAAATCAGTCTGAGGGTTACCAATTATCAAACTGAAATGGCTCTCAAAAGAAGTGTGCCAGTGTTTGACATGACAAGCACGCGCACACACACACGCCCTAAAATGATCTGAACAACAACAACCGTTCACTGGCATTTACCCATACACACAGAGGAAAGAAATAAAGGCAACCACAAGTAAAGAAGATTTTAAAGAAAGGAGGATAAACAACTGCATGGACAAACTGCTCATATCTAAGAAATTACACATAAAAACACAAACATTAAAAATAACTAGCTATATAATGAGATGAACAAGATCCTCTGAATCTCTGGCCTCTAATTAAGTGAAGCACCGATGTTCATGACATTTAACCACAGGTATGGTTTTTCCAATCACGAGACAAACAGAGGCAGTACCATAACAGCTTGTTTTTCTTACATCTGTGCAGGGATGTCCCTGTGGGGCCAGCCATCAGTCAAACACAGGTTGGAGGTGCTGTACTCAAAAACTACTCTGAAAGACTTTCAGTAATGTGCGATTGGGGGGAAAGCTTCATTTTTTTTTGTTGCCAAGGACATAAATACAATCTCTCCCAAGCCACCACTCACCTGTCACTTGTGGCATGTTTAGTTCAGCCAAAGATTCTTGCTAGCAGTTTGTTGGCATCCTGTGACAAGATCAGGCAGTTCAAGAAGAGCCAAAAGAGCTGACAATGACAAGGATTATTCTTTAGGTTTTAACATCAATACTGTTCATTTAAAGTTCAATAAAAGCACAATGTCTTCAAAGTCAGTAATCATGTTAATCATGATCTCAATAATGACCATTACAATCATGATTATGATTTTTGCAATAACTGAGTAGCCCTAAAATTTGGATGACAAACTCATTTTCCACCGTTTCTTCCCTCGTTAACTGCATGAGCTGCACTAAAACACAGTAAGAAGAAAAACTTTGGTTTTGGTTCTGTGCCCTTAGTGTAGGTACGTAGCTCTGGATGAAAGCATCAATTAAACACCTGATTCGTCAAATGGAAATGTCTACAGCAAATAACTGATTGCACAGGCGAATCGCTATCTCCATGTCTGCGTTATTATTACACCACAGAACCGTTCTATTATGCATGAGTGTGATTATGCTTTAGCAGATTACAAGCTGACCCCATTGCCTTTGCTTTACCTGCAGTGTAATTTGGATTCGGGAGAGTCGGGATGTAATGTTTCCACCATCAATCTCTCTGTTGTCTGGGGATCGAATGCGTCGGCTCTTAATGACGTCCTGATATCGTTGCAAAACAGAACGGGACAACAACTAGATGAAAATGCTTATTTCCCTTGCTGACAACAAAACCAGTACAAATGTATCCAACCACCCCCTGCCTCCTTCCCCACATCCTGATAATGTTTCAAGTGAAAATGGAGTTACATACTGCAGCAGGATGCATTTCAAATGAATTCCGACTGACTGCATGCCGACTGGACATGGCAGCATAGAAATGACCACTGCTCAAGCCCTCTCTGAGCAAGCTTGTATTTTAGGCCCCTGGATGTCTCTATTCAGTGTCCTCAAAGCACACACACACAAAACCCTTCCCTTTTTGGTTTAAATTCTTGCAGAGGATATCTTCTGACACCAAGTAGCTGTTAAAGAACTTTAAAGGAGGAAACCTTTACCTTAAAATTCTTTATAATTCAATATATATTTTCATCATATTACTCATTCTCCCCTTTTCTCAGGGCTTTATCACAGTTAGCTCTCCATTCTCCCAACTTGTTTTCTCATTAGCACTTTTGCCACTTAAGGCCCTTTTCCATTCCCTGGTACTGGCTCAGCTCACTTTTGGTACCAGGTGCTCCCCCCTCCAGGTGCAGCCAATCATCACAGCGACACCACAGTGATGTCGTCAGCAGCCGACACAGTAACAGTGCAGGACATGGAAGATGTGCTGGTCTTGATATATGGGCATTTTTAATTAGTACAGTAACTACAGTAAAGTAGCAGTTAGCATTAAATAGCCTTGCTTTTAAAAATGGCACTTTATTTCAGTACATCTTTCACATTGATGTGATATCTCTGACCCGTCACTAGTCTGTAGTGTTCACACGTCACCATTTGTTATCCCTTCTGCTCATTTGGAACCTCGATGGAGGGAATACCAAAAGTAATAACAGGTGCTATCCCCAACATCTGACTGATAGAAAAAGAAGATGAGTTGATTTGAGACGGTACCAGGCAGTGGAAAAGGGGGCTTTTAAGACCCAGGCTCCAGTTTCAGACACAGACACATGCGCTCACTCTCTCCTCATCCATGTTGAAGATCAAAAGGCCAATCTCTGTCCTTTTTCTCTCTCAAGTGTCTTTAATGTGGAAAAACCAGAGCATAAAACGCACACACAGGGCAATCAGATCAAAAGTCCAACGTCCAGCCTGCTCCGTTTGTCTGATCCAGCATCAAACAGTCACATGTTGACAGAACAAGGCTAGGTTAGAATGTTAATCAGATATTCAAGGACGGCAACACTGCAAAACATCTTCTATAATAATGTGCTTCTAGCTGTGGAAACAGACTCACTGTTCTGAGCTGTATTATGAATGTGAAAATATGGCTGCATATGGGCGGCTATGTGTCGTACCCACACCTTTGTTCTTAAAGATAAAAATGGGACTGTTGTATTCTGGGAACAATACTAACAAATACTACATTGGAAAGTTAGTCAAGCATCCAAACATATGGTTGGTGCTGTGGAAAAAAAATTAACTCACCCATTTAAATTGCATCGAGACAAAGTTATTCATTAATTAAGGGCACGGAGGCTTTGAGTGACATGTGGGATGGTCCCAACCTAGGTGGCTGGCTGCTAGCTGTCTAGGAAGCTCCACTCACGCACCGCCTCTTTGCCCATTTGTGGATTAGACCTAGCAGGCAGAGTGACGTACCACTAATGTGGTGCTGGCTGCAGATTTCACAGCCACTCTTCAGAAAACCAATGGGTAACGTCTCGGTGGGGTTGTCATTTTTATATACAGTCAATTGTCTGAACTGAGAGCCCAAAAGGAGCTGTGGCTGCTGAGAGTTGAGCAGTGTCACCAATACATCAAAGACAACTCTTATACGAATACAAAGGGGGAAAAAAAAGCTAGTAAAAGTTCTGGGTCTACTGAATAACATCTTGTGGATAAAATCTTACCATGGTGACCACACGGACACTGGACGTTATCAAAGCAATATCAATTTTGCCATTTGATCAATGTGTGTGAAGATCTCTGAACCAAAGAGCTGGATGAACAAACTGATCGACGACAGGCTGATACTGCCATCCCTGGGCCCACTGCATGCAGGAAAGAGAATGACGCAGCCAGGGGTTGCAAGAAATTGTTTCACATTTAGAAATACCTCAAGTCACTATTAAGATGTCAAAGTTCCCTAATCATTCTTGAGGAAAAGTAGATGTACTGCACATTAGTGGAAACTCCAGGTTTCTAGGGCCTTTGTGACTACCTGGCTAGGTGCCAACTGTCATGATGGTTATGTCCACTACAGCCTGGTGTCCCCTGTCTTCCAAATAATTGTCAGGGACAGCCTGGTAATTCTGAAGGTAATAGCAGAGCGGTCCTCGGCTAATGGTTTCCTACCCAGGAAATGAGACTTTGGAACCACCATGACAAGATGACTGACAGCTGATTAGAGCACAGACAGAGAGAGGATGAGAAAGAGAAGGGTACGCAAACAGAGAACGCAAGAGGAAAGAGAAGGGAGGGGCATAGCCAAAAGAGAGGGGACAGCAAAAAGTGACTAGATGGGAAGAAGAAAGATGACAGGAAGGAAAGGGAGAAATTGAAACTTTAGTAACATGGCTCAATCTAAACATGTCTGCTGCAGTGCCATCCAGTCCAAGAAAGTTACTGTTCAATAAACTTTCACTCAACATAAGGAAGAACTGTTACATTATGACTGCTGGCCTTAAGTTGTAATAAAATGCTATTCTCCGTCACACTGCCATGCCTGTGACAGTGATAAAGAAAGGTTTCCTTTGACAAGTGGTGGAGCAGAGGATTGTTGAAAAAAGATGTAATGGTTGAAAGTCATACAGCTCCTAACAAATACAATATGTACTGTACACAGTGAATGTCCAGGTCTAGCAATTATCAGTGTTTACAAACCACTGAAACAAAAATATAGGGACAGAGGCTCTTACCACACAGTAACTGCCATACATTTTAGAGTAATAAACACTCCATTCATCTGAAGACAACCTTAATTCGTAATGCTTTAAACCTGTTGCAGACATCCTACCTGTGGCTCATATTCTGGCCACCCTAATGAGACACTTGTTTGAATCCTGCAGTCATCCCACCTTGAAGCTTACATGTTTATTCCTTCTTAGTATCTCTGCTGATGGTCCCCGACAGACTAAATGCCAATCAGAGGGTTTTATTCAGGTGCTGAAGGTTAAGGCTGTGAAATCACATGCTCTGACACCCCTGATGTAGCAGCTCAGGAAGCTCAACCTGCCCCAGGAGCTGCTGAAACAGTTCAGCACAGGAATCCGAGTCTGTTCTCTGCATCTCCATCACTGTCTGGGTTGGCTCAGCAACCAAACAGGACAGGAACAGACTCCAACAGACAGTAGAAAAGACTGGTGTCAGCCTGACCTCGATGGAGGACAAAGATTTCTGCAGACCCCCCTCACACCCTGGACACAAACTGTTTTCTGGATGGCGCTACAGGTCACTGTACGCCAAGACAACCAGACAAGGACGGTTTGTTCCCCAGTGCCATCACTCTCATGAACAGCTAATCCATGTTTGTCTGCATAACAGAAAACAGACAACTCCACCCAGTGCCATCACTGGTAAATATAACCACCATACATAACATACTGAAGGCCCTTCTTTCATACTGTATACATCTTCATTAGAGACTGTCTCATTTTTCTTGACTTACAAAAGCACATGGAGAGCAACTGCGCTGGAGTCCAATTCCTTGTGTGTTCAACATACTTGGTCAAAGCCGATTCTGACCGTATAGTGATTATAGTGACCAGCAAAGCCTCCTAGTAAAGACAATGATGGTGTTGCAATGTGCTCACTTTAGACCTTTCTTCATGATAGAAGACCTTTCCTTTCAGTCCTCCTTGGTTACTATATTAATGTGTTAATAATACTGTAATGTTTGTGTATTTTGGCCTTTGAAATGGACTGATTTTGATTTAAGCTCTCATGCTACAGCAGGAAGTCCCTTATAGCTACTGGGCAGTATCGTCTGAACACTCCATGACAAAAGAGGGGATTTTCTCGGGATTGCTTCAGTGAGCAAACACCATTACTGCTGGGACATCATTCGAAGGCAACAGATGGAATAGCATTACAGTAAGTCACACTACAAGGGTTGAAATGAGTAAGCCTGTTGTAGCCATGATTGGGGCTTGATTGCTTTTGTTCCCAGAGCAAAGGAAATGATAGTGTGAAGCAGTTGTACATCATACAAGAAAATCAAATATGGTTGCTTCCAGATGAAATTCTGTTTGCAACAAGAAGTCAAGTCTTCAGGAACAAACATGATGATTCTCAGAATGACCATCATCTGAATAAGTAGGATTGGTTTTGCCAGTATAACAGTCTTCACAAAGCCAGTTTGACAAGCACACACAATAATCCAGGTTTTATTAAGGATTTGGATTGTGTATTTAAGATTGCCTTTGTGTTCATAAGGCCTCCTTTCTTTAGCCATCTTTCATATTTGCACCTTTGAAGATAAAGTAGTGAGTCACAGGTGAGACGACACATTTTATTGTTTCGGTATCATACAGCTTCTGTTTGTCACCGATTGTCATTTTCTCTCTATTCTTACTTTTGAAGCCAACTCCGTTGCGGCCTTCTTCCTTGGTTTCTCACTCTGTCCAATTATTATATGTACGTATTTTCCCATTTCTTGGTTTCTTTACTCCTTTGTATCTTTGCCTTCTATCAGTACAGACAACATATGTTGCTCGTTTCCTTGTCTTTTTCCTTTTCACGCTTTTGCCATCTCTGTTCTCGCCCTTGCTTTTTCAGTTATTCTGTGCTAAAATGAAAAGATCACTCATCTGCCGTTTGTTGTCTTCACTGAGTTTTTCCTCTGGTTCTTTGCCACATGCTGCTAATCTGACGGCTTGGGTCAAACGAAGTGACCCGCCACGCATTGCTAATGTGCTCCCAGGGAATCAGTTAAATTATGCTCACTGCGGGGGTGAAAGCATACATAACAGTGGCATTGAACTCCTCAAGGTTATGCAGTA